CAGGAGTTGGAGGTTGCTGTGAGCTGTGAAGCCATAGCACTCTACCCAGGGGGACAGCTTGAGACTGTGTCTCAAAAAAAAAAAAAAGAAATACCTTTTAGAAGCTGAGACCCTGGCGGGGCCAACTTAGTCCTGGACACGTAACAAAGCCTCTTCCTAGTATATGAATCTTAACTTGATGAAGGGCTGGAAAAGCCAAAGCTCAGGCGGTTTGTGAAGAGATGGGATCCCCTCTGTGTCGGTGGAACGCAATCTCTATTTGTCTTAAAAATGACTCCACTGGGCTCTCCCAGCCAGCCTGCTCTGACACCAGGGGCAAAATGGCTTTTAAAGTTTAAATTCCTCTGAGCCAGCGCGCAGCCTGTTTGCTTGTTAAGAATCAGCGAGCTGTGAGCTCCTGGAACTCCCAGTCTAGTCATCCTCGTGCCCCTGCGTCACAGCAGCTGTTTTCCTCCGTTGGAGATTGGACTTTGTGGTTCATATTAACGTGGAGGTTTAATGAGTAGTCTGTGGCACGTGAGGCTTGGTGACACACTGTACTGACTTGGGGGAGGGATGTGAAAAATGGCAAGTGGGTTTTGCACCCACAGGCTAGTGTGCCCAAAGCACAATCTGGGGTTCCCGAGACCTTTTAGGGGTGTCTGTGAGCTCAAAGCTATTTTCAAAAATACCTGAGATGGTTTTTTGCCCTTTTCAATCGTGTTGTCTTATCAGCATACAGTTTTCTAGAAGCTACCTGCCACATGATAAAACTGAATGCAGAGGCTGGTCTGAGAGTCCAGCGGCCTTCTGTGAAGTCAGACGTTAAAGAGGTTTGCAAAAATGTAGGGGACTTATTTTTAAAAATGAACTAATACATCTCTCGGTTGCCATCTCTAATAAGGTATGCTGCTTGGTCGATGTAACCCACATGAGGAAAAGCTCTTTGGAGCCCTCGTAATTTTAAGTGTGGAGAATAAGGAGAAACATGCCATGTTTACTTAAGAGGACAGGTCAGGATTTCAACGGTGATTTATTATCGATGGGAGCCTGACATCCCTCTGTGGGGGCCAATTCTGCTCTGTTCACCATCAACAGAAAATGACTGGACCTGCTCACTGCTGGTAACTTTGAGGAATCATCTATTTTTCAAAAACCTGAGATCCTTGCGGGGAAAATCCGAAGGCAGAGCGCCCTTGAGTGCTCTCCGGGAAAGCCCAGTGCTATGTGAGGTTTGGGGGCCCATCCTGCTTCCCTGGAAATGACTTGCTCTCTATTCAGGAAACACTTTGTTTTCTTCAAGTCTCCCTTAGTGCCCATTAACTCCAGCTGAGGGATTTGCGGACTCCCATCAGATCACCTGGTTGTCCCGCGTTCAGAAGGAGCAAATGAGAGCACAGCGGTGCTGAGCAGGAGGCAAGCAGGGCAGGTGCCCCAGGGGCAAATTTCAGCAGATAATCTCTGAGCACCTGAGCGTTTGCACCCTCCATGCCTCTTTGTGTCTGGTCCTGGGAAATACTGCCTGCTAAGGACAACTGGGGGTGGGGGGAAAGCCACCAGCATGGCTCTAACCTTGTTTCTCTTCAGTTTGAAGCGATTATAGGACAGTTCCCTAAAACCAGCGCAGTGCAGCCTGGGCAGCTGGGTTTGGAAGGCAGCTCCCTAACAGTTCATTGGGCGAGAGACCTCAGGCAGGTCACTACCCTCCCCAGAGGCAGGTGTTTAAGCACTGAGTGTTCTTTTGAAAGCCCTTTGCAAACTTAATTGTCCTATAAAAGTTGAAAGGTGGCCCTTGTTAACACCTTTCCGGGAGAGGGCTGCCTGCTTTAGATTGTCTCCCAAGCTTTTTTTAACCACAACCCACAGTAAAAAATACAGAAATGCATTTTGCATTGTAACCTGGAAGTCCCACACATATACATATAAATAACTGAAACGAAAGTTTCAATAGACATACTTATCCCCACCGCATATGGCGTGGTTGACTCTATGTTTACAAAGACATTCCTGTTTGCTAAACAGATGTCACCACCCACGCTAACAGGTCTCCACCTGCAGTGTCAAGTCTTTTCTTTCTTCCTTTTTTTAATTTTTTTGAGACAGTGTCTCATTATGTCGCCCTCAGCAGAGTGCTGTGATGTCACAGCTCACAGCAACCTCAAACTCCTGGGCTTAAACAATTCTCTTGCCTCAGCCTCCTGAGTAGCTGGGACTATAGGCACCT